ATATTATAATAACTATAAGAGGACTAGAGGAGGAGTAGAGACATGTGACTGTATACATACTAATACAAACTTAAACCAAACTACCACACTATAAAGTCAACATAATGGATCAAGAACAAGTTAATATATTCCTTATTTAATCAATATCCCATTTGTTACAATGGGTTAACAAAATCACTCCCGCAATGCTGTACAATGCTGTAATTTATAATACCATGTCCTAATAGAAATGCTGTACAGGTCTCGTGGTTAGAGATTTCGAAGGCCCCAAGATGTTCATAAGAAAGTATCTTAATTGTGTGGGCCACGCCCCCAACAGTGAGCTCCATTCTGATATATACAGACTGTCTCATCACGGAGCATGGAACAGGCTGGCTAACAGGAGCCTCATCAGTATACTTGTTATAAGAAGTATGGAGGTGCTATTAATTATTATATTAATGATGCTATTTATGTCACTAGTGTTATTAATAGTGAAGGGATCCATTAATAATTATATTATTTATTTTAATATTAATAATAATGGAAATGTACACTCAGGACTAACTATTGTTTAATAAGAACATCTCTCACTAAAAAAATTTTGTCACACACTATGAAAATAATAACTTTTACTAATAATAATAATTATTATTCTGTCACCAATTAAAAAACTTGCCCAAGCTATAAATACCTCCAGCAACTCCTCCCACTAAACCACCCACACCAACTCCTATCACAGTGCCAAAAACAGGTACTATAGACCCAACTGTACCTCCAATAACAGCACCAGCAGCAGCTCCAACACCAACAGAACCAACAAAAACTAACAAAACAAAAGACATTGCAAAAAGATGCAAGAATAAATATGCCTCAACACTGGCACGGATGACTAATGTGGCCCATAACACTTTCAACCAATCATCTGCTGTAGGCAGCTTCACTTTTTTATCTTCCCCAGCTATACAGACTGGTATTTCTTGCAATATTTCCTTCTTAACACGATGAGAAAGATTAGCGACAATAAATGCCTTGCATTCACAAATTTTTTCTTCTATTGCAGCCTCTGAGTCCCCAGATTTTACACTCTCAAGTGTAATGAATCGGTTTGCTTGTGTCAGTACAACAACTGTCCTCTTCCACATTTCTTCATGTAAGACGGAGGCCAGTTCTAAGAACATAGTACAATCAACTCTATCTCCCAGCTTAGTACAAATGAGGATCAGATCAAATTTACCACGCCTGGCAATATTTGATAAAATACTGCAATTGCTACTGCCCGCAAACCCAACAGTATCATAAACTTTTATCTTGATACCCTTGTACTCTCCATTATATTCATCTACCGGACAGGCTCCAAATTCATGCATGACTTTTCTTATGCCTTTCCCAAACACTATATTGATCAGCTCAGACTTACCAGCACCAGCTGGACCAACCACTAATATA